CCCCCTCTTGATCTGTCTTTCTACTTTTCTCAGCTTGATGCCCCAGGTCAAATAACCATATCTCCATCTCAGAAGCACTTCTCATCCAGGGACCATAAAGGAAAAAAGGGCCGCTTGACTGGCTCTCTCTCTCTCTTTTTCTCTCTCTCTCAAACACACACCACACACACACACAAATCCCTCACTTCCTCACGCATGTCCCCCTATTAGCATGGTTCACAGACTCCTCACACACATGCGGCCCTAATTAATCCAACATCATGTACAATTATGGTTCGACACTGGAGGCCAGACTGAGGTGATAATGACAGTGCGTAAAGCTGTGGTTAAGTGTAAGGTGATATAAAAGACTTGATGTGAGTGTGCATGTCTGCCAGATGTGGTTAGAGACTACTGTACGTCTACATTTTTCACCACCATTTGAAATTCTGATGGTATATATACGGGAGCTGCTCAGATCTAAAACACGCATGAAAGTAGTGTTGACGGAGTGAGTGTTTACATTTTCATGCGACATATGATGCTCTAAATTTATAAATCAGATGTCCGAACATATTGTCCATATAAGGAGAGAGGCTCAGGATAATATTGTTTCGGGTAATTGGCAGAGGAATTTCCTCCACAGTAACGAGAACGGATTCTGCTACATGTAATGTCCCACAGTTTCTCACATGTAGTTTGACTGATTATTTCAGAGATGATGACAATGAAGACGACGTATGAGTGTAATTATGAGCCATATTAGAGTTGAGCCACAATCACTCACAGATGAATGAATTTAACTGACCCGGGAGCTGACCCTGGCAAAGTCACGCAAGTACACACACACATGCACGCACACACGCGCACACGTAACCCCCGCACACACGTATTCACAGCTCAATGCCAAGCGACAACCTTACATAAAGAGCAGCTCAAGAATGGCAGATCTACAGTTCAATCACCACATTCATTTCCACGCTGTTGCCCACCCGCTAAAAGCTCCACCGATCAATGTCTAATGCTAGCAACTCTGCAAGATAGTGACACTGACTTTAACCAATCACAACACATTAAGATTTGTAGCTCTGTTCTACTCTTGGAGCACTTCTATGTCGGGGAGGGTTGGTTCTCATTCAGGAATGCAGTTGAATGTTTTCTTACATCTTCTGACATTTTAAAGACCAAATGATTTACCAGTTAAGCAAGAAAATAACATATTCAATAATTAACACATCATCATCTACAGGCCAGTTCCAAAGAAAATCATTAGTAACCAGGACCATTTCTATTTTTAAAAATGTGTAATGTATAATTATGTCTTTTCACTCATTAAATGTACAAAACTTCGGCCACTAGGGAGCAACTGGCAATGATGATCCATACGAGTGACCCACACAAACCACCGACTGGCTAAGTGGCTAACTAGCTAGCAGTGTGTTTTTAAAAAGCAACCAAAATGAAATGTCCAGTTACCTTGATTAAAATTTGGGATTTTGATCATTGTTGGAAACATTTTGGAAAATGCAAGTACACAAGTTAACAACACATAAACAACATAGATGTATTTGTTTTTAAACATGAATCAAGAATGATCACAAATCATATCTTTGAGCACTGCAAACAATGTGATTACAACGAGCCCACTGACAGTCCATTCTGTTACTTACCCCTGTGTCTGGATAGGTGGTCCAGCCCAGCTCTGAGGTAGACTCTGTTGTGTCCAGCAGCATCACTGAAGTGAGAGGAAGCAGAGACAAAGAGACATATAAGAACACAGAAAAACACAATGTACAGTATTTAAATGGTCTCCAGAGATCACTGCTCAAGAGTAAAATCTTAAAGAGTTTGTTATCATGAGTTCTCTTAAAGACTGAAAACCCCAGACTGTGTGATTCTGAGACACCTTTAAGAAAAATGTACTTAAACTTTGTAGTAATATATTCAAGATTAGTCTTTTTCTTTGTATCAAAAACCACAAGTAGTTGGAAGCTTTTGCTGGTGGAACAGGTCCAATATTCATCCTCATCTCTCTTTGATTTTTTCCTCCATGCAATAAAATCAGGGAGGGATCCAGCTGTGTGCATCTGTCAAACCAGATAACCGATCCTGAGTAATGATGCATTTTGGCACAATGTTCTGGTGTTTAAAAAATTAAACCGATTGACCTGATGGAGCACCGTGATTAAAGGTCAAATTTTCCAACTTTAAAAGGCCATAACAGTTACTGTCACATCCTGTTGAAACTTAGCGAGCTGATGCTTCTCCAACCTTGGTCAAAGGGGAACCTTTATCATTTTGAGGGCGTTGATACGCTCAGTGTTGGTTTCTTGTTTGAAACCAGGTTTAACAGGCATTTGATCATTTACCCTCATCAGGAACCAAAAGCGTGAAGTTAGCGCATGACTTTCATGTTGGAGGGTATTTTCACATAATTTGCTTTTAGTGCTTGATAAAAGAAGCTGGCAAAGAAATCACACGCACAACGTGATGTTAATGTTGAGTGCTGTGTGCTGACACATGGCAGCTTCCCACACAAAACTGAAAACCTCACATCTTCCATTAGTGTTTCAAAACCATGTTGGCTACTGTTGCTCCAGTCTGCCACAGTCTGCACTCACCGATTGAACACAGGCCAAAAGTTGTTGCGCGCACAGAGGTGGCAAAAACGTTCAGGTTTTGGACGCTCACACAGACAGAGAAAAATGCACAGTGTCTTACTTTGTCATGCACAACACTGATCACATAGAGGCACACACGCACACACACACACACACACACACACACACACACACACACTAAGCATTGTGTGCAGGCAGCAGCCATCCACCTCTGTTTACGAATAAATAATTCTCCTCATTGGTGTCATACAATTTTTAGGCTTTTCGTTTCCATTTCATGTCACACAATCGTTCACCAAAGAAAAGAAGGCTCTCTATCTCCTCTTCTCTTTTTCGACAACCAGACAAAGAGCGACTGAAAAATGTTAACCACACAATCATCACAGTGACAGAATGAGATTTCAAAAGGTACACACGTCTCACCAAACATCAGTGACTCACTGATACAGCACCCTATTTCTCAGGTGTACACACACACACACACACACACACACACACACACACACACACACACACAGGTGTACTTCTATTTTAGTGAGGACACTCATTGGCATAATGCATTTGCCAGCCCCTTACCCTAACCTTAACCATCACAACTAAATGCCCAACACTAACCATAACCTAAACCTAAGTCTAACCCCCCAAAACAAGCCTCAACCCTCAAACCCCTCATTGAAAAAGTGAGGATGGGCCAAAATGTTGTCACTCTTTAAAGGTCTCTATGCTGAAAATGGTCCTCATAAATATGTGAGAACAAGCACACACACGCGCACACACACACTCATATTCATAATAAATCAAACGAATAATAAGAAAATTGTCTCATCAGTGGTTTATGACACGCATCCCTCCATCGCTCTGTTCTCTGACTGAGCTGTAAACAGATTTTTGTTTTTAGGATTAGACTCACAGATGGAGACCCCGCAAATCTGTCCTGCAATCCTTCATTTACCCCCCCCCCCCACACACACACACGCAGTCTCTCTCTTTTCACCCACTAGCTCGTTTTTATGCAAGTCTCACTAAATTCACACATGTTCTGTGGAACGTGCTCCAGGATTCGGAATGATATGAATCATATCAAGAAGAAGAATACAAATGGACTGTGACAGTGGGGGATTATGTGCAGCCACAGGCATCAGAATAAATGCTTTTTAGTGCAACGTTTGTCTGGACAGCTTGGCAGAGCCGATCAGGAGAAAATCAGCTACAGGGAGAAGACTAAATCCCCCAGGCCAGGAATTTTGAAGCCTTTGAGAGAAATGACGATTTTACTTTGCTGACGCACCTTTTCTGCTTTGTTTTATGATGCTGCTGAAGGAAGACGGATGTTGTACTGTGCGCTTTCTCAAGCTCAGTGTGGTGACATAAAAAACGACCCATAGATTAGCTTCCGTCTCCCATCGAGAATCAACCCTCACTTCTAAATGGTCATTATATGTATACGTTGAAACATGCATGATGTTTGAAATGCACGCATTCAAACATCATGCATTCTGACCTCATTAAGCACCTTCATGTTTATATCAAAACACAAATACACAAATGCAGCAAATGTGTCATTCCAAATTCAATTAACCCTCTGCTTCGGGGCAGAGTCACGCATGAATAATATATAGCAAACTATTTTGACATTAATATTAATGCCTCTACTATTTAGCTTCTCGTCGCGGGGCCTCAGGGACCACAGGTCCTCACGTCACCTCCGATCTTTGCAGGGAAAACCTGTACATGAGGATTACATGCAGGGCTGTTCGAGGAGCTTATGTCTTATTGCGTGACATTAGCATTTTGAATAATTTACCATGACATCTTAAGATAAGCGGTGAGTGCTGTGTTGCACACACCTTCCAAGTATTATCTTGAGCTGAGGCATCATGACTGGATCTTGTGTGTGAGAAGGCATCAAACAAAAGAGGGCAACATTAGCTAGCGATTCCACTTGGCAGTAAAAGCTCCTTTATTTAACTCTCAGACAACCCCTCCATGTGCACAGAGCGCTGCAGCATCTCTGCTATTGGTCCATCCGAGGAGACAAGACACTCAAAGTTTGTCCCCGACAGTTTGGAGAAGTGCTGAGTCTGCAATCTGGACCTGAGTGCTGCTTTAATGCATGGCGGTCTCTCACGTCCTCCTGCTCCACTCTCATCTTCCACTCACTTTACTCAATAGGCTACCTTTCTCCCCCCCCCTTTCTTTCTACCTCCATCTTGTCCCTTGTCCTTCTCATCTGGTCCCTCTCTGCATGTGTGTATTATTCATCTAAAAAGTGACAGCAGGGTCGGCATCTCTGTACGTTAAATAAGAAGATAGTCTCTGCTCCATTATTGATGCCGGATCTGCTGTTTGTTTGGGAAGAGCTTTGATGAAGAGAAAGACGGGAAGACAACAGAAAAGAGAAAGGGTTATGAAACTGGAATCAGAGGAGGATGAAGGGATTGAGTTTGTGCGTACTGATCTCCCCTCTCTATCTGTGCAGTGTGGGTGTAAATGCACTTGTGTGTTGTGGCGAGGTGGCCTGCATTAGTTCATGACAGTCCCCTCTGGAGTGTTCACTTCAGCTGAGTGACCCTCTTTCCGCTCTCTACGTTCATTTCTCTTTGCCCAACACTCCTCTTTTCCCCTCACTGTGTGGCCATGCATGCACTGACACTCTCCAAGCGCTAAGAGTAGTGCTGTTGTTCATGTCACGCCTGTTTGACGGCAGATGTATGCTACATTACTGCTCACTTTCCGGGCAATAGGAACACCAGGCTCACTACCCCCAACAAAGAATGAAGGTGTTAACATTAGTGTAGGCTAGAGGGGTGTGGGTGTGCGTGTGTGTGCATGTGGGTGTGTGTGTGTGTGTCTGTAATGTGCCTTAACACCAAAGTAAATGCACCTGCAGAGAATACACAAAGTCCCTGAGCTCACATGTAACATGTCACACACACACAAACACACATTTTCACAAAAAAAATAAAAAAAATTCCCACAGTTGCCTGCGAGCATGCTGAGCAGCGGTCAGGTCGTATTTTGTCTTTTGTCCACTCATCCACCCATCTCCACCCATTCTTTATACGCTCCAGATGCTCCCACCCACAGACAGTCAGTCAAGGACGTGGCCTACACCAAACCATCATTACAAACAACCACAGCGAGAGAGTGATACGCCGAGACAGAGCCGGAGCGAGAGGAGGAGTGAGGGAGGATGGGGGATTAACGCGATTCCAGAAATAAGCATGCACATGTCAGAGGGAGTTATCAAAAAGTTTGTGGCGGTTGAGCTGAATGAAAGTGCAGCTGCAGCAAACAGCACTTAAGCCAGGTTAGATGACAGAGCGAGGCCCGCGATGATTTGCAGAGCACGCAGCAACAGGCACAGGTGGGAGGACCTTTCATGAGAGCTCACCCTGTTACTTGAACACTTTTGCAAAGGTTACATGGCTGTGGGTGACTGCATCTTGAAGGGGGAGTTCTGCATTTTGTGGGAAATGTGCATATTTGCTTTGCCAAGACCGAGGCAAAGTGAGTTTGCATGACTTCTTGTGTGACCTGGTAGGAAGTCTGAAATGTTTATAGCTGGTCCGAACGGCTACACTTGAAGCCGGGGGGGAATATCCGTCCCTCATAAACAACAGGGAGACACAACATTGTTTAAATATAGACAGTACACTTTTTCAGACAGTGTTTCCTGGAAGACATTCTTAGTGTTCCACTTCTTCGTTTGCACCAAAAGTGACAAAAAAGGTTAAAAAAAAAACTGCTCTCTGATTGTGACATGAAGCGATTTCAAAGTTCAAAATTCAAGATGGGAAGATTTTCTTGTCACCAGGGCAGTAACCATTGTCTTTTCGAAAGGGCTGCTTGTCTGGCCTGTGGTGATGCTGGTTGCAGCTTTCTCTCTGAAACTGTCAAAGTTCCCTGCAGTAATTGAGCTGCACCGAGTAAAGAGTAAGAGTGGACCTGTCATACGCTGGCGACCTACGCACAATGCCAGCTCGGATCGGCTCCAGCCCCCCACCACCACCTGCGACCATACCGAAAGATAAGCAGTATAGATGATAAATGGATGGATGGTGAAATAAGAAGCTACCACCAGCAGCAGCACCATGCACTTAACTTAGCATGAAGACTGAAATCAGGGGGAAACAGCTAGCTCTGTCCAGGGAACAAAGTCCACCTATACAGCACCTCAATATGCATTTGCTGTATCTTGTTTTTTTAAATCATTACAAGAATTAACTCGGTTTGACCAAGAATCATTTTAAAAATCACTCTTCACTCTTTAATCATTAGCGATTTTGTTGCCTTTGTTTTTCCTGTTTTTAGCCTTTATTTACATATTTGCCATACAGACATGAGAGTGGTATCAACCTTATCATCTGACTCTGAGCAATAGAATAAAATAAATCCATTTACAAAAATGCCAAACCAGTCTTAAATGTCTTCAGGTATTCCAACACATATCTTTCTTTTCCCTTTAGCAAAACTAAAATCCAGATCAGACACACTCTGGTTGACCTAGAATGACTTGGCTCTGTCTAGATGAAAATAATCAGGGTGTCATTTAATGAGAATAAGAATAAGCCAGAGAAGTGTCTCCTTCTGTCGGCTCACTGGAGAGCACTGATCTGTGTGCAGTGACAATAAAGAATCAGGTTTTACAGAACAGTACATGTTCCTACAAATGAGAAGAATCCTGGGCGTGATACAAACATACTTTCATAACCATCTCCACATAAACAGCCACTGAGAGGAAGGAATGTGAATCTGAGCTGAGATCAGTTTTATGTTTCTGTCATTGTGTCATTACTCAGCCTTCAGTTATCAAATGTAGCTCTCCCTCTGTTCGGGCAGAGTGCAAACTTGCCAAGTGGGATTTTAATGTGAAATTCAAAACTGCAAACTACATTCCAGTGTCAGGGCAGCTCATACCACACGCTCAACTTTCAGTCATATTTGGCTTTAACTCACCGCCTGTCCATACGGGTTATCTGTGATGCAATCTGCCACGACACTGAGTGACTCGCAGCAATGAGTCCTGGTCTTTGTATACAGTCTATGATCCTGGTCGGCAGCTGCCAGGGGGCTTGAATCTCTCATATCACAAATGGCAGATGCATGATTTCTCTGAGGAAAAGTGGCCTAATGACATTAAAGCACTCTCAACAGCCAGAGATAATCCTGCTGCTTTTATTCGAAATGACAAAAACGCTGCTTTAAAAAAACGCCCAGTAACAGTTAATTGTTGTTGTGTGAGTGATGGGGATGCTGCGTCCTCCACTTCCCACCAGCATGTGATTTCTCTCTTTCTGAAGCTGGGTGCACAGCGAAGGGCCGGATGAACGAGCTTTTCAGGGCTGTGAGAGGCATCTGTCCCACTGCACTCCCACTGTGGCAAACATGACATTTATTTTCATATCACACATTCTCTAATGCATCACGTCCTAAACACAGAATTGCTCACTACACCCAGGATAAGGATGGTAATCTGCCTAATTAATACCCAATTAAAGCCAGAAACAAGTAACAGCAGGAAAGATGGAGGAGATGACCTTTGAGTGAGAACGTCAACATGGCCCAAAATGTGTCCTGCTGGTGTTTTTCTTTATAACCACTGGTGGAGGAAATATTCAGATCGTTAATCTGAGTTACAGCATCAGTACAAGGATTTAAAAGATTATCAGTTTTACTCATAAATAGGTGTTAGAGGTAAAATATCCTTAAAGTATCAATGTGCAGAAAAATGGTCACTGTAATATTATTATATCATTAATACTGATGCATCATTATGTGAACTCATTATAACAAATACCTCCGCCAATGTTGAAAATTGTTGAAAATTGTTCCATCTCACAAAATGAAAATCCTGGATCCACTCTGATCTCGATCTACAGGCTCTTCCCTGAACCATAGAACATCCTTCCACCAGATTTCATGGAAATCTGTTCAGCTGTTTTTGTGTGATCTCCAACCAACAAACCAACAGTTGTGAAAACATAACCAGCAAACTTCTTGAAAAATATAATTTCATTCCATTTATTTAATCTTTGCTATTTTGTGATTCATTACCTACACCATGGAAGTTATGTTTTCACCATTGTCTGTTTGTCTGTTTGTCTGTTTGTTTGTTTGTTTGTCAGCAGGATTACATAAAAACTGGACAGATTACCATGAAACTTGGTGGAAGGCTGTGATGTGGGTCAGGGGGCAGGTGCAGGATTTTTTCCACACTTTCTTTAACATGGTGAAATCGGTCATTTTTCATTTCTGTTTCCATGGATTAGGATGGAAATTGATCGAAATAATTAATCTTGTTTAGGGGAATGATTTTTAAGAGTGTGTGCGATTTGGTGCAAATCCATATTAATCTAATGAAATTAAATGTGGTTTCATAAGGGGACTGTTGGGCCTTGGTGGAGGTATGAATTACCCTGAGTGACCTTGTTATCTAAACATAAACCTGTAACTTTATCTGAGTTTAGAGGTGAAGTGTGTGAACTCTGAAAAAAGTTCCAACAAGGACCCACTTAGACACAGCTTTTTGTAAAAGGGGTCATGAGTAAACAAAATATATGTTAGTTTATACTTTTTTGGATGTAAAAACTGAAGAGTAAATGCAATACAGTGCAAAAAGAAATTGGTCTAAAATGGAAAAAAAGATATCTGGGAAATGGTTTCTGGCCTATTGACCTAACTGTATTTTGATGATTTTATAAGTCACCGCACGCAGCCTGTTGCCTTTTGGTCAAAATCAGATGAGATTACCTTTTCCAGCTATGACATACGTGCATTCCACTAATGATACAAGGTTAATTTCTGGATGTTCACAGCTCAATGAGCATTGCTGCAGCTCCACTCATCCATGAAGAGCTGGAGGGGCATCAGGTGTGCCTCCCATGCGCAGGCCTCCCCCTTAGTGCGGCGTGTTAATCCAATGTGAATACGCAATCCGACAACACAGATCCAACCATTTAGAGGCCGGCCGTGTGGCTTCACGTCAACAATGCACGTGGGTGAACGCACCGACACTCACAAAGGCAGCAGCATGTGAGGGTGACAAATCAAATGTCACTCACAACGCTCTGCAGTTGGTCATCATGCAAGGGAGCAGCAGAGTGGCCTTTAGTCTCTTAACCGTGAGAAACGAAGCATCAAAACTACAGTGCTTTATGTTCTGTGTCAAGGTTGTTCGAGCAGGAAACACCGATTCACCACACAGACAATAAACAATAGAAAGACAGACAGTAAAGTATCAGTTACCATGCAGCCATATTCAGTCCAGACAGACACATCATTTACTGCAATCAAATCTGAGGCAGACGTCAAATCCTCCTCTCGTGACATAACTCCATGCTTCAATTTATGTGGATTTATGAAGACGCCCGAGCTATTGGGTTAATACTGTATTATGAAGAGCTCTATTTCAATTATTACATGGAGTCAGTAGGCCAGCACCACGGTGCAGCCTCTCGTCCGCTCTCTGTCATTCTGTCTCATCTCAGTCCAGGCCATCTGTTACACGACGCAGCTCAAATCTGTGGCATGGGGCTGACATATAAGTTACCTCTGTTACAGGCCAGCCGCTGGCACACACCTCGCAGTTAAACTAAGGCTGATGGGAGATGAGCGTGAACAGGTGCAGCTCTTTTCCTTTGAGAGAAATGGCGTGCTGACTGCTGGAACCCCCTCGAGTGCGGGCACAGGATGTTGGAGCAGGAGTTATGTGTAGGCAGACGCTGAAGCATGTGTGCACCAACAACGAGACACGCTCTTGTGCAGATAGACACAGGCATGCTGCACGTACATACAAAGGCAGTTTATCATTCGATTTTTCACATCAGCCCATATTGATCTGACAGAACTCTTCATGGAAGGAGTGTCACTTGACTTTCCAGACACACACACACACACACTTCCTCCTGCATTTTTTAACAAATATAATATTTACTTTCATGACAAAAAATGGAGATTAAAGAGTAGAAAACAGGACATGCATCCACAGAAATAAAGCGCCACTAATAACTGAAGGGGTCAGGGGTCTCTGGCTGAGTGAGTTGCAGACCCCCCCCAGTCAAAGAGAACTGGGTTATGCAACTTATTATTCATTTGTCTCTGGCCTTATTTCCATATTCTTTTATTTCAGGGAGCTAAATAAGCCTCTGCACGCACCTGGCACTTCCATGCCAACAAAGTCCTGTCTAATGTGCTGCCACGGCGGCTCACACGAGCATGTGCATGCATATTCACCCACTTCAGACACAATACAGGGGCGCACAAAGCTAACATGCACAGGGCCGAAAGAGCAGGGAGAGAGGTGGTAATTATTCAGGGGGGTCCCTAGATGGAGGTGGAGCCCTAAAATATCCAGAGTTTCTGAGGAGGTGCTGCGGCCACCTCACCTTGCAGTTTCACACATTGTCAAAGTGGCCAGAATCCCCCAGAGAGCCACATTCTCAAGAGTGTTCATGTTACACTTGTAGACTACAAGTACAAGCACATGATGAGTGGAGCTGTGCAAACGCTCCATCACGCCATACAGCCCCGCACACACACACACACACACACACACACACACACACACACACACACACACGTCAGGCCTCCACATGCAAACAGAGATGCAATGTGAATGAATTCAAATCTTTAAAAAAAGTTTGGTTCTCACCTTCCTCTGCTGAATGAGGCCGGAAAATCAGACAGAGACACAGAAAGACCCTCCACATCTCCACTACAGAATGACACTGACACACAGAGAGAGGGAGGGAGAGAGCATGAAAGAGAGAGAAAGAGGGAGATAGAGTGAGTGTGTGTGACAGACAGAGCGAGTGAGCAGGAGAGGGGGGGTGAGAGAGAGAGAGAGAGGGAGGAGGTGGAGTCTGTTTGCTCCCTTTATCTGAGGGAGAGAGAGAGAGAGGATGAGGGGGCGGATGGATGAATGGATGAGGGAAGGAGAAAAATATTTGAAGAGCAGCACAAACAATAAGGAGACTGGCAAGTGAGGGAGTAAACAAAACAAAACACCGCTGTCATAGAGACAGTAGGAGAGAGAGAGATCAGAAAGAAAGAAAAGAGGGGGGTGAGATAGTCCTTTTTTCATTTAAGAGAAACAAAGAGACAAAGAGAAAGAAAGAAAGGGTGAGTCAACAAGAGAGAGTGACACACACCGACTGAGAGAAGGAGGTGGAAAGATTCATAAACAAGTTTGGTTTGTAAAACAACTGTCTAGACACGTCTGAGGGCATCTGCTCCAGCTCTGCTCTCATGCCTCGTGCACATTTCTGCGAGGCCGCCTGGACTCTGTGGCTGTGGCATCCCTCACATGTCTGGACACTGTGCTCACTTGCATTTCTCAAGCTGTGGCATGTGAACGTACCCAAATTTGATCTTCTCTCTCATTTTCTTTCCTTGCTGACTCTCACTTTTTCAATTTTTATGGAAAAGGAATATGATTTAGACACATTTCTTGAAGCTCTCCATCCTTCATACGACCACCACCCCTCCTCCTCCTGCTCCCCCCTCTGTCTCTCAGACACTCTCATTGCTCATCCAGGCAGGATCCAGACACACACGCACACACACAGACACACAAACACACAAACACACACACATGCAAGGACACATATGCTCTACAGCCCCTTCAGTCCGTGCACGCCACTCGCTGGTCAGACTGCAGCACTGCAGCTTGTTGATGGCTTTTCATGCCCCAGTTCACTGCAATGAATAAAACTTCAGTAGACTCTTGCAGGGAGATGTTGCCTATTGGCTTGACACAGTTAGATGGCCCCATTCCCAGCCAGCCGGGGGCCCTTTACCCTCGGCTCTTTGCTCCAAGAGGCTGATGTGCTGAGGGCAAAGTGAAGAGGGAAATGAATAATGGTGCTGAAGTCATTAAACACGGATTTAGAACTTCTCAAGTCCATTTTGTTCTTTTTCAGCAGCTCGCTCCCTCTGGCTGCTCAGATAAAATGTCTGCTTGTGTGTGTTTCAGAGCTGAGACAATGAAGTTAATCGATCAGTCAATCATCAGACTGAGATTGACAGTCGATTAATCACTAAATATTTAAGCAAAAATGACAAAAAACAATGGCCTTTCAAGTGTCATTATTATAACATCCACCGAGGACTTTATGTTTTAGTCTGTCAGTCAGTCTGATGGTCAGCAGGATTACGCAAAAACTACAAAACAGATTGTCATGAAACTTGGAATTGTATGTGGTATCTGTCTGAAAAAGAATCCATATCATTTTGGTTTAGATCTGGATCAGGGGTCAGATCCAGGATTTTTCATTTCCATTTTCCTTCAACATAACGAGACAGGCATTCTTTCATGGAATCTTACGGCATGAGTGTTCAAGTATTTATGAGTGTGGATATATTGGTGCAGATTCTAATATATATCAAGATCTAGTGAGTTGAAATGTGGTTTCATGAAGTGACTGTTGGGCCACTGGGTGCCATTCTACTAAACCGCTCAAATAATAAACCATTTTAAATGAATGACATTTAAAAATAAAGCTTTCATAACAACGTTAAAATAAATAGCACATTTTCAAAGGAATTCCTCTGCAGGGTAAATAATCCCCTACATCTCTTCGTGTGTTCTGGTTTGGCTTTTGAAGCTGTGACACAAGAGGGCATCTAACCTCATGACTCTGTGTCACGCATACACGCCTAAAACATATCAACGCCAACATGAATATATCATTTCAGCAGCAGCAGCCACGCGACAAAAACAAGCTCTGGTTTTAAATGCATGACTTTATTTCGGTGATTCAGTGATGGTTAGTCGCACTGAAAAAGAAAATTGTTCACCAGCTTACAATAAAAAACTTAATTTGGTAAGAGGCAAATAAATTAAGTTTGTTCAAATCAAAGAGAAGAAGTTATATTAACATAATTTATCATTTTAATTCGGAAAAATAATTTATGTGTATTTGGTGAACAGTTTTATTTTTTCAGTGTGTACAGTGTATGACTGAGTAGTAGCAGAGTATGTTGTGGTGCAGGAATGGAAATAGAATTAGTACCACAATGCAGATATGGCAACCGGACAAATCTCTCACACTTTTACTTTAGAATAAAGATTTCAGTTACATTAATGGCAACAAACCGGTTTTGTCTCACAGCATCACAGCGAGAAAAACACACACTGTTATGCTCATTATTCAAGTCGCACATTTCATTACAAGACGGACCAAGTTTATTTTATTTGAGTCTCTCAATCCAAGTGTCGCTCTTGTTATTACGGCGGGACAGAGGACATCACAGTAGATAAACAGTGAAGGTCAACTCTGACAGCCACACACACTCTGATACCGCCACTTCTCACTTCTGTTTTCCCGCAAAAGAGCAAAATATACATATTAAAAATCCTGTGGAGAACTGCAAAGCAAACATGCTGGCATTCACCATAGTAACAGTATTCCCAAAGGGCAAGAGGAAATCAGTGGATGAGACAGGATTATGAAAAGCAAATAGAGTAAGACAACCAAAACCAGACCTATCCTAACACATACGAATATATTTGCATGTAGCAGAGATCAACGCAAAGACAAACAGACCATCTTGAGTCTGTGGTCGGACTGTCAACACTAAAATGTTGAGAAGTGCTTCCTTATGAGTGGGTGCACATTCAGAAGAAGATACAACTGTGCAAACGTCAACACAACATTTGTAAGCAGGTATATACTGTGTTGTAACGGCTGATCATGGTGCAGAAAGTGAAGATTCTAAACATTACAGACATTTGGACACAAAAACATGTGATACAACAGCAAAAACCATTGAAATAAATACTATAACTGTAGTGTTTTTGTTCTGTATCATCGTCTCCTATGGCAAACTGAGATATGTGGAGTTATTTTGTTATCAGTAGACTTAATGTGGTTCAATACATATTTAAAAAAGAGTGACTGGCACTTTTGATTTGATGTAACACTGTTTCAAAAGGTTCTGGGGTATTTTATTGACCTATGTTGCATTGGATTGTTGTTATGTTCTGAGTATCAAGTACAGTGATGGATAAATACGTTTTTCTGTTTTATCTGCTAGAAATCAAATACATGAACACAATGAGGCACCTGAGGTATCAGACTGAATCATTCTGTCATAGTGGTTGTATCCTGCGGTGAAACCATAACACAGACACTTTGTTAAGACTTGGCAGAGTTAGACTACACCTCATTCTCATACACGCACCTTCCTCGACTTTATCACACACAAACAATTTTAACTTCACAGACGTGCACCAGTACAAACACCCTGTCCTCTCAGATGACGTCAACATGTGTATCTCGCTTAAATATATAATTTAAATCTATAGTCAGTGCTTTTTGTCAACCCGAGGAGGAGAGGGATTGATACAGCGCCTCCGCCATCTGTCTGCTCGAGACAACATGGCTCCCTTCCCCTGGCTGCGAGGCACATCAGGCAAGCAGACAGGACACCAAGTCAGTCTTTTTGGGTCAAACTACCACACTCCAAAACCGGCTTTTCAAGCTTGACCTCAATACATAAACCCCCCCTTTAAATCCTGCAACCTTTTAACACTGGGGGTAGCAGAAGACCTGGACACTTAACATATGTTGATCCTCTTACACGGATCAATACGCACAGAGCTGGCACCAGGAACGTCAACAGACATTAAGTACTGGTAATTCAGTTAAGTTTCGCCCGCATTTAAAGCAGGATTACAGGGAATTCTGTCATTTGTTTAAGCATTTGTAACTGGGGAATACATAAAAACTGTGTATTTATTTTTAAAAAGGCACACTAAAAATATACATTAAAAACAAAAATCTCATATTTCTGCATTAATACACTGAGTTGGCTTTTTCTAAACACACCCTTGCTGCTCTTTTATCGTTAGTGAGTTATGAAATATAACTCATCACAATTTCTATGTGCATGGACCCTGTTCGTCTGCACTGCACCCTAAGGCTTCCCTCTAAAGGTGCTCATGGTTTCTCCGGGGGAAGATCCACCATAGGAACCTTCTCTGTGGGGGACATGGGTGCAGGGTCTGGCAGGCCGATGACCACCGCTTCAGGCACGGGGGAATGTGTGGGCTTCCCCGCACTGGCAGCGAATCCCTGTGCGATGTCATCAAAGGTTCTTCCTTTGGTTTCAGGCACTCGCAGGTAGGTGAAGATGAAGAACCCAATGAGTAAGACCGTGAAGATGATGAAGACGTATGGGCCACAGAGTTCCTGAGAGAAGAGAGGAAGGCAATTTGTTGTGGGATAAACTTTCAAACCATTTGTTCATTAAGAGGGTTTTAAGGTGTTGTAAATGTATCCATACCTCCAGTTTAAGGAAACTTATCCCAACCAGGAAGTTGGCGGTCCAGTTGGAGAAACCTGAGACAGCCATGGCAGCAGGCCGGGGCCCCTGGGAGAAGAGCTCAGCCACGATGAACCAGGGAATTGGACCTGGACCCATTTCGAAACTGGCAACAAAGCCAAACACAGCCACGATGGCCAGGTAGCTCAGAGACGGGTTGGTCTTCTGCTCAGAGAGAGAAAATATCATGAAGAACATTAGGGAGACTTTTTTAATTTTTGTCAGCAAAAAGATCACTGGACATGATGATCCAGCAACCGACACTTACCCCCAGAGCGAGCGAGATTGTCATAAGTAGAGCGCAGATGGCCATTCCAGCCAGGCCAATCAGGTGCAATGTCCTCCGCCCCGCCCTTTCAACCAGGAAGAGCTGAAAAACAGGAATTCATTAGTAATCCTCAGAAAATAAAACATGCCATGTTCTCAGGCACAAACCAGGAAGTCAGACTCTTACAGAGACAACAGTGAACACAGTGTTGACAACTCCAGCTCCGATCGTAGCATAGATGGGTTGAGTTACACCAGCTTCTTGAAAGATGCCTGTGGAGTAGTAAAACACCTGGAGAGAGAGAAATAAAAAGAGAAGATTAGTGCTGTCAGTGTTTGAAATTACATTTAATACATTTAATGTTTGTTTTTTGGGGGGCAGAATACACACTGACAATATTATCACCTTTTCATTGTGATTCGGCTAAAGAGTTAGCAAACAATTGCTGGTCTATTTATTATATTAATTTTCTTGCACAAAACACACAACAGCTAATTCCTTGTTCATATAAACCTACTTGGCAATAAACCCCGATTCTGATTTGTGTCAAACAAACAAAGCAAATATAGCATTCACTTGAGTTTTTTGTCTGGATAGTCTCTCACTTTTATTTTTGTTTTGGTCTCTACCCACTTCTGGTTGAAACATCTGGATCATTAGCAGCTGAATGATAGACTGCGCTACCAGCTAGTTATTAACTTTGTCATGTGGCAGTGGTCAGGCAGCGTACAGTGAGTTTATTAGAGCAAGCTAAAACTAAATTTCTGTGGGCTGTCAAACCATAACATGAGCTACTAAATAATAAAATGCTCTGTTGACCTGAGCGGAACTGCACAGGCGAGTGATGATATTTCTTTCAAAGTTAACGTCATTGAATCCATAGAAATATTGATTTGTGCAGCTTTAACTTTCGATATAGATACAAAGCACAAATCTATACAAGTTGCATAATGTAAAACTCTTCTACGTGCTTTTCTAGTGAGTGATGTAGGTCAGGGTAATGTGTCTGTCAGGGCTGAATCGATGCTGCGGCAGCTTTACTGTGATTGTGAGGTCAGACACAATAAACATCGACACATTTAGTCAGTCTAATTACACAACCTTACCAACAAAACACCTTTTAAATACCACTGTGCTGCCATTGACCCTCAGAGGCTTGGATTATTCCACCCAATCTAACATTGCCTGGAGCCAGGAAGCATCTCCTGTCATGAGCTTTGTATAATTTCAGTGAATAGATTCATTAGGTTTAAAGATAGCCCCCTCATTTCACATTTCATAATTATTTCCATCGACCTCCGTAATAAGATACGATGTCGACTCACAGCGTTGATGCCAGACATCTGCTGAGACAGCTGGAGGACGATTGCGATGATGATTGGTTGGCGGTATTTTGAGGAGCGGAAGAGTTCGGGGATGGTCACTTTCTTCTCCATGGCCATCTTCATCCCTTCTTCCTTCATCTCTTGAATATCGTCGCTCACATCTTCAGTGCCACGCAGGCGGACAAGAGCTGCAAGGAGATGACGGGATGGGGGAACAGAGAAGAGGTCAGCACATTATGAAAATATGATGTCAAGTTAGGAGCAGCTGCAAGGTTCTTGGAAGAACATGTAACCATGGTGAAATTTTTATAAATCACAATGCCTCAGAACATTTACAGGACATGCTTCAATCCACAGATCTTTAAAAATGCATGAGTCATTCCAGATTCTGTCTCATTAAAAGCTGATGTTGCCATCTTCTTTGCTGGAAGCAAACCAACCTTTTCTTGCCTCCTCCTCCTGGTTGAGGACGATGAGCAGGTAGCGGGGGCTTTCAGGGCAGAAAGGCAACATGATGCACTGCAGTACAGCGGGCAGGGCGGTCAGAGCCAGCAGCACAGGCCACAAGGAATCAGAGCCAAGCAGAGACTCCAGACCGAAGATCTAAAGTAAACAGGCAGCAGGGCAGACGTATTTGTAATTGTTGTTTTTAAGTCAATTAATTAGCACTTCATGAAAAACTTGCCAGATGTAGACCAGTACCAATCAGGTCAAACAATCACCATTATCACACCCTCATACCTGTGCCACCAGGATGCCGACCACGACACCCAGCTGGTGCAGGGTGCCGAAAGCCCCCCGGAGAGCGGTTGGAGAGATCTCACCCACGTACATAGGCGTCAGTCCCGTGCACAGGCCGCAGAACACGCCGATGACAAACCGGCCGACAATGACCATCTCAAAAGACTGACTAAGGACCGCCAGCCCCATCAGACCACCTCCGAGGAGAGCGAGGATATTGGACAGCAGCATAGACTTACGCCTGGTAATGAGCAACAAGCAGGAAGGAAGGGGACACATAGTAAGAGAGTCAAATAAATTAAAAAGCATATTACTAGAAAGTTAACATATAGAAGTTTGGCTGCAGCAAATTATTTTTTATGCATAATGTGTAGATTATTATTGAAAACAGATCATAAACTGTGACTTCCCAAGGTCCAAATGTCTTGATATCTCCAAATACCCTAAGCCTACCCTATTATATTTATGAATTTCTTGCTATGTGATGTAATTTATCAGTCTCCATCTCTTATCAATTTTATTAACTCCTTTTGTTCTAACCTGCCAAATTTGTTGACTATGGCTCCGACAGAGAAGGACCCGATCATGCCTCCCACACTGAAGATGGCCACAGAGAAACTCCACACCATGGTAATTGTTCCCTTGTTGAACGGCTCGCCATAACGGTCCATGGACACATTACGGAAAAACCCACGCAGTTTCTGTCACACCAAAGAAAAGAATGACAAGGTTAGAGGTGAGTAATTTAATTATTTTTTAAATATCCACATGGGGGCAGTGCAGCTTTTTAGCATCAACTCATGTCTGACACTGCGAGTCCCTTTAGTCGAGGCCAGAGGAGACTTACATCAACATCACACTGAATCCAAGACAGAAAAAAGTACTTCAACTGTAGGTAGATATTGCATCTATAATTAATCCAGGAACTATGCCCTCTCCTTTAATGGCTGCCATCTTAAAACATAGATACACTAAATATCCATCACAAGATTCCATCCAGCAGTGTGGCTCACACACACATCCAGAAACACACACACATCCAGAAACACACACACATCCAGAAACACACACACA